GAGCGCACACATGTACCTATATAAGGGGACCCGTTTAGATTATATAGGAGGCATGGTGCTTTAAACCCTGCCTGTCAAGGCTAACCTGGTCTGTGTGTGTTGTAATCCTAGCAGGGAAAAAACAAGGAGATACTTATCAACGATACCTTCCTCCTAATAATCAGAAAGATCCCAGCTTTCAGAAAAGCACAAAAAACTCCAAATGGCCCAGAGGCGACATACTCCTGATATCCTCAGACAGACACATTTTTTCTCCAGTTGTCTTAGACATTTTTTTAGTGAGAGTTTCATGGCACTTGCAACACAATAAGGTCGTATAAGTGCCGAGGATTACAGGTGTTACAAGAGAGTAACAAACATCAAGAAAAAGGAGGAGTGATAAGGTCGATAGATGTTCGAAAGGAAAGAAGGAGCAGACCACACCAGAGCACTCGCCAACCACTCTCGTTGTCTTGGATGTGTTCGACTTTATTCGAAAGAAAATGAACAAAATTGGATGAAACTATTTTTAAAAAATCGGACTCACAGCGAAGATGGAAGAGTACCCTCCCAGGAAGGCGGCTAGCTTCAGGTTCAGTTTGCTGAACAGGACCGACTTGATCATGGCCGGTTTTTTCACCAGTGCTGTCAGAGCAGACACCGTGCTCAGCCCGGCCTGCACCACATAGCCCAGCGTGAACATCCTGGCTCCACCCTGAGGGAGAAAAAGTTTTAAAAAGTATAAGTTGAAAGATTATTTGGTAAAATGCATACCTTGTTTTGTTTTAGTAGAGGTTTTACGACGCTCGCAACTGCATAATGTCAAATGAGCGCGAAGGGGAGGATATCAACAGAGAAGTCCTTACAGGAAATCATAATTTTTAGTTTCAATGTTTTAATCAACATTATAAGGCACTTGCAAAACAATGAGGTCACAAGAGTGCCAAAGATTAGAAGTTCTACAAGAGCGTAAAAAATATAAAGAAAAGAAGGAGGCGAGAGTTTTAATACACATTTTATGGCATTAGCAAGGCAATTAGATCAAATGAGTGCCGAAGATTAGAGGTGTTACTAGAGAGTAACATACACTTAAATAAAGAAAAGAAGGAGGAGACATGAAGATAAATATTTGACACAAAAGAAGGAGCAAATCACACCAGAACTACAGCCAGTCACCCACATCCATACTGTATATGCCAGCCTTCAACCAAACTTTGATAAAAATATCGTCCAGTTTTCCTTCCTTGTTTGTGCATGATGATGATAAGGAGTGAATTTCTGGGATCGGGGGGGG